TTTGAATTAATAAACCGCTGGGAGGGAAGCAATCACGATGTCATTGCACATATGCTTGCAGCAAAATTCTTTGGGGCTGATGTTTTACCAACATACAGAGCACATGTAAGCATCGGTAATAAAAGGTCTCTATTGTTATATTGTTCTATAAAAATTAAAAATAAAAAGTTCAAAAAATAACTTTATGAAAAAGATGCAGCCATACATCCAATCACATCAAACTTTTTTCCTCTAGTGTTTTATCAATGCATAACGGTAGCGTAGCTTGGCGTGGGGGAGAAGGAAGACATATGTAAAGGAACTGAAGGGATTTAAAGCAGCAGCAAACAATACATGCCCACTGCTGGAATTAATGTAATAGTTTCTCCTACTTCAACTGGAATGATGAAATGCAATACTAAGTGGAATAATGAAAGAACGGAACCAAGGAATTCTGTTCATCCCAGTCTGTGAAACAAGAACCTTAACGTGTTGTTGCAAAACTAACTCTCTCACACCAACAGAAAGGTGCAGCTGTTTCACGCATGACATAGAGGCAAGCTCTTCAAGTGGACAAGTCGTTTACAGTTATGTTGGTCCAAAAGTAAAATCCAAAATGTCAAGAATGCAACCCATGTAATACCTTTTATTAGGACCAACCCGGCGACACACAACAGTGTCAAAACCTGCAGGTGTAACATGGATTGTGTTCTTGGCATTCCAGTGTACAATCCAAGAAGGAGCTGCATCCAATCTCAGCTCTCTGGCAAATGCAACCGTATACATTCATTTGTGGCATTTGCCCTTTTAGCTTCATTTGCAGATAGTTTTCTCAATTTCTTTCCTTAATTTGCATTCCACAAAACTTTATTTTACCTCTTGTAGTTTTTCTGCTACTTTGTTTTTTGCTACTTCAGCACTTCTTTCCTAGCCTGACGCAGCCAGCCAGGGCACTTACAAAATAAATATTCAGAACGCTGAAGTTACAAAAATTGTACATGTCATAACTGCACAGCACTGATGCACGACCGCACTTCACAAACTGCAGCCATTAAAAACACCTTCACTGGAGAATGCCATTTGTACAAGGGTAATGGAATTTCCTATTCAGTCAAAACAATCTATTAAGGATTTAAAAATGAATTTTTATTACTCATGTAAATTGCTCCAAACACACCTGGTATGCACCATCCTGCAAGGTGTTTCCAGCTCTGCTAGGCAATTGCAAAACAACAAGCATCCTAACCAAACAGCCATGAGAATGTTAATGAAATGGTCACTGGAGATGCATAACTGCCGTTAACTGCAAAGCCAAGAGGGTCTTATTTCTACTACCAAATGGATTTATTTTATAGTAAATAAAAGGGAACCTTTATTGGCTATACAAAGGCTGGACTGAAGATCAACAGATGGATTCCCTAGCTCCTATTATCAGTCAGATAATGGAAAGCAAAATATAAGCAAGCTGTTCCTGGGATCAGCCTTTTCATCCAGTCTCCATTACTACATTGAGATTCGAGCCTATAGAGAATGTGACATCTGGGGCTAGAGGGATATCAAGCTATGCACTACATCCAAAGCTCTAACCATAAGGAGGAGCTACAGAGAGACCAGCAAGGAATTATTTTAGGGATGGGCACAGACTGAATTATGAACAGAAGATTGTCATGAACGTGGCCTGGTTTGTGGTTTGCAAACCTTGGTTTGTGCCATCCCACCCTCACGAGCCCCATGAACCTTACACAAACCTCCCAGGTGGGTTTGTGTGGTTTATGGCAGCAGACACACTGGTGCCAGGGGTGGGGCTTGAAGAAGGTATTTAAAGAGACCATAGTCTCTTTAAATGCCTTCTCCAAGCTGCGCCACTTAAAGGGAGCCATGGTGCAAGTCACAAGTGAACTGAGAAGGCATTTAAATCTTCCAAGTGGGAGAGGGGGGAGCAAAGGGGATCACTAAAATTGCTTCCAACTGCGAAGGCATTTAAATGAGTTGCGCCACTGTGGCTTTGTTTGCAAGCCATTTCTTCTTCTTCTTTTGCAAGCCATTTCAGAATTTTAGCGATACCTTCTGGTTGGTTCTACAACCCAAGTCCTATTTCATTATTTACTTGTTGATTGTATTGACTCAATCTGTGTAATCCACTTCGAGTCCCAGTGAGAAAGGTGGACAATAAACACACCTCTTGGCCTGTGTCTTGCATCCATTCCTCTCAGTAATCTCATATGGAAAACTAAGAGCCTTCCCCTGGAACAGTAAGAGCCTTCTCCCAAGCAACTGCTCGGAATACCTGTGCTAGCCCAGCTCTTATGAAAATGCCCACTTTGCAGTCAGGAATCTAAGATCAAGACTGACTAACATTTGACAGGAGGCCCAAACTGCAGTAAGAAACTGCACACAAATTTGATCCACTTTAAAGGGAAAAAATGTAGATAGCAAAAATGTGATGCAAGGACGAAGGGTAACTAACTTTGAAGGGTTCTAACTTTGGGAGCAACCCTAAACGGGTATATTCAGAAGTAAGTCCAATGTTATCCAAAGGAGCTTATTCCCAGGAGAGGGTCCTTAGGTTTGCACACTTAGGTTCACAAACTAGTCCAACAGAAAATATGGCACTGGCCACCCCATGAGACTTGGGCCTGGATCCTGCCCTCAGCCATGCCTTCAACCTATCTTGTGCCACAAACTCACTGGACAGCTTAGGGCAGGCCACTAGGTTTTCCAGTCATGAAGCTTCGTCTACGGAATACCCTCCTCAGCTTTACTTTCTTTTAGGTGCCAGGTAAAATACATTTACTTTATTCAATTTTTAATGGAATACAGATTGTGCTGCTTATTATGCAGGTGCTATTCAGTTACTGATTATGGTTGTCTTAATTGCCGTGTATTTCATCCTTGTATTATTCCATTCTGTTGCAAACCACTTTGGAGATTTTTCATCCAGGTATAAATATTTTAAATAAAACACTCACTCTCCTTTAGCCTAAAGTTTCCTCAGCCATAAAACTGGAAGATTAAGGACTATTTTACAGGGCTATTTTAAGAATGAACACAATAAAGCATTTTGGGCAATAGCAAGGCTATTAATACACAATGCAACTTCTACTAATCTTGGGATTGCCGGCGGCCCTTACCGTGTAAAATTATTTATCTGTCACTGGATACTGATAAAAGTGTAATATCTAAAGTTATGTAATATGTGGCTGGTGCCATTCATTTGTTTTCAAGTTTACTCTGAATGAGATGCTGAATTGCCATAGTGATGAACTGATTTGAATGATTCATTGTTTTGCTCTGTGAAATTACTTTTTAAATATTGTACGGCAGTATTGTTATGTACAATACACTTGTATCGATCACTGATATAAGATTGCCAATCTTGGGTGTGGAAATCCTAGAAAGTGCTGCATGCTTGACCCCAGCCACCACTGGCCTGCTGGAATGGCATCTTCTCCTCTGCGCAGACCGTCTGTTCCGACAACAGAGCCAGCCCAGCCTCCGGCTCCAGTGAGTTCTTGGCTTCTCCTCTGAAGCCTGCCAGTGAAGCAGTTAATTAACATCAGTTGTGGCACTGGAAGTGGACGCCTGCCAAAGGCCACTTTACAGGTCTCGTGAAAAAGAGGCAGCTCACTTGGTGAGGAAGTAAACAACTTCTCTGTGCTCCCTGCAGCAACAAAACAGCTGCATTTCTGCTAACCTGCTGGGCAAAGAGTACATGAGCAAAGAGGACCCTACACACTGCATGGCAACTGTGAAGCCACAGCTGTTTACATTCTGCAGTTTTGCACAAACACAAACAAGCTGTGGAATGTGGTACAGAATGCTTGAGAGTATCAGCTTTCATAGTAAAAAATAAAAGCAAGTCTCTTTTCCTTACAACCATGAAAGTGGCTTTGAAAGTGTGTGGGAAGTGTCTTTTGATATCTCAGAAGTCAAGTGAGATTGACAAAGACATTCAGTACTCAGGGATGGGATTTCAGATGGTACCCTAGATACCTCCTTCCCCCATCCCCGCTTAGAACTAGCAGAATAAATTATGTGAAATATAATCCTTCATGTGTATGATTTATACAGGTAACAGAATACAAATTTTCCCTTGAGGATACTTTGAGATTTCTTTGTGTATATATAGGATCAGATAATAATAGTTTGAAGGGGTGAAAAACGTATATACACACGCACACTGTAACTTAGACTCGCTGATTTAAAACTGTCTGACTGACAAGGCGCACTCCCCTATTAATCAGTCAAAACTTTTTAAATGCTGTGTTTTAATGTAAGTACTTATAAAATCTGGAAATGATAGTTGTCACCTTAGAAAAGGTATTCTCCTTTACTCCCACATAGAAGGAAATGCTTTTCTAAAATACTTGTGATGCTGGAAGTTCTCTGAATGGAGCCTCCCAGCGTTGTTCTTTAAAATACACACACACCAGGGAGGTGATTTCAATCAGGGTTGTGGTGGAGTGGGGTTAAGACGTAAGATGTATAAAAACAAAGGAAGCTTCCCCCCCTTTGAATTATTAAGTCAATTAAACAATCAAATCTGCATACATTTGTACATGAGTAAATTCAATCATGTAAAGTCTTAGAACGAGGACTCCATTCATTGAATGGGCATATATATATATATATATGAGACAAACATCCCTGCATTAAGGTACTGCATGCAGAAAACTGTAAAGCTTAATCGTATTGATGAGAGATGAAGGGTTGCTTCTAGAAGTCTGAAACTTCCCTAGAACAGTCAACGGCAAGAGGCCAATGTAACCTGGGATTTTCCCAATCTACAGTCTTCTCAAGCAATGAGAGTAGCAATGTTTTTGGACCCTTGGCTGCTAAGACAATATAGGAGATAACCAAATACATCTGCCCAATGGAGAAAACTGTGAAGAAACAGCAATATACTAGCTTGGTTGACAGTCCCTTGAGATCAAACCACAACGTCTAACCACTAATACTGCTTATAGAAGATCACGAGCGCCAAACAAAATCCAAGCCCCCATATTAAAATCTCTTCTTACCCCAAAATCAAAGCAGTTGAATGAGGAGTGGAAATAATTCCTTGGTCCCAGCCCATACATCTTCAGAGACATCTCAGTGAGGAACAGGCCAAGGAAAACAAACTCTGCAAAATCTAGAAGAAAGCAAAAGAGGGTGAATCATTTGCAAGTAATTCCATAAGTATTTTGTAATAATATAGAGATGCTTCTCTTTAAGGTGGACATGCTGCCAGTGGGGGGGACCTGTTCTATTGCATATCATTCAGCATGTAGATAAACACAGGTACATACTTAAATTATTCTTATTTTCATACTAAGGAACACTGTTCAACACATACGTGTCCACACTGCATTTACACAACCCCTAGTATAATCTCCAGACTTGACTGTTCAGTTTCCATGATGGAGGAAATGACAACTTCAGTGAGGGGGTGACGGGACTCCTGGGTATCACATGCCTGCTGAGCTTCCCTCAGGCACTGCCCCCAAATCTCCAGGAATTTCCCAATCTAGACTTCTCAATCCTAACTAAAAGTAAGCCTGTGGACATGTGTTCATTCAATTTCAAATTCTTCCTCTTTATTGTCTACTCCATTCCTCTGTAGCCTCCACTCTTGCATTCTGTAAAGAACCATACATACTTATGGTGAAATATTAGTAATAACAACTGCAGGCTCAATATGTGATTCATGGATGGTATTTGTTAGGGTACTTTTCCACTTAGGTTTGGTATATGTGCAGCTGCAACTCTATGTACCTGATTACATGAAAAAAAAATACATATTCTGGACATGTTTGTATCCCCCCCCCCCATCCCCCGGATCAGAAGGCTCAAAGTTATCCCAATAGTTGTAATGAGTCACACACTAAGTATGATGCTAGAATTTGGTACACACAAAGTCTATGGCAACCTAATGACCAGAAAACTCTGAAGGGGGAGGGATATTTGTATCTCTATAAAATGTGCCCCTAAATGGCTGAACTTCATCTTAGATACCATCCAAAACAGTCTGATTTCTACAAACATTTAGAGATATTTGTAAACCTCTCCACAGAAATTGGGTTCAATAAATGTACCCCAAATGGTTAATGTACTACCTGCCACCACCTGAAATGTGGTATCCGCAAAATCCAAGACACTCTGATGAACTAGAACAGCCTGAAGGAGGGAGGTGGTATTTGTATATTGTCACTCAAAATAGGGGACACATAGTGGGGTCCCCATATGGTCAAAATACTGATGGTTGCTCAGAAAGCTGAAATTTGGTACAGCTAAAGGCTTTCTGATTACGATTACTCACAGAAAATGATGGGTGGTTTTATATACTACTGTCAAAACTCAGGACATGGTCTACTAGAATTCTAGCAACTAAGGAGCACATGGAATGGTTGGAATTCAGGAATTTCATGGCCTCCCTCAATAGGACTGTGATTTAGGGAAAGGGATCCAAGGCTGTACATATATGTATATCACGCAAACTTCATTTTCTAGTGAATGACACTATTATAAGCTAGATAATAAAATAGATCAGATATGGAAGATGCACAATTAAAGAGCTTTAACAAGCAATTCTATAGTAATTCCAGTCTGAGCTGACGGAAATTAATTTTTTAGGAAAAAAAATAAATGAGCAGGCTTAGATTAATTTGGTATAGGATTACACTGTATAATGAACTTCAGTTTAAGTACAGCACAGAACTATAATCACTACAAAGCAGAATCAGAACAGAATCAAAGTGAGAAAAGGGGGTTTAGAATATTTAGGACAAAAGGAAGCAATGAAAGTATACATATAGTCACTTGCAAATCTGTATTGGCTATCTCTGGACCAAACTAGATGTTATGGTGCCATTTTACAAATGAATTCAGCCCTTTGAAAATGCTGTGAGAGCCTGATACTAATACCTTGTTGAGAACCAGGCAATCTTGTTCCCCACCACACCATACCTTTTCAAGTGTTGAAACAACCCACTGTTTAAGAAAAGAACAAAGATGGAACCTAGGCAATCAAACTGGCATTGAAACTGGACAGGAAGGAAACTCTGCCTGGGAAAGTGTAACAGCCCTAATAGGACAATTGTTGGGCTATTCAAACCATTACTCTCCCTGGTGATTGGAACGTGCTAAAACACGCTTAACATGTCTGCTAAGATAGTTTAGCTTCACCACACAGTAAAGTTCACTCTTGCAAACAATTGCAGAGATGTGAACTTAGTAATGATGAAGCAATATCGATTACCAAACAACAAAAATTTCAAATGATGCAAGCAATATGATGCCAGTTAACAAAAACACCTTTACCCGATGGACAGCGCAGGGAAATCCAAAGACACGTACAAGATTTCAAGTAATCTGCTGGATCCAGTACCAGAGTCCAATATAGAGTCTCTCCTATCCTTAATCCACAGCAGGTCTGGTGATGCAAAACAGCTTGATCATACATCATGACCCTTGACAGAGAAGCCAATATCCCCTTTCAGAGCTGGTGACCCTAGTGACTAAAGCCATTAGCAGATTGGTCTGGTCATTCAGACAGAATGCACCAGTAATTTCTCTGTGGACACCAGCTGTCCTGAGCCTCACCACTGGCTGACCTTAAAGGAGAGATTCTTCAGAGCCAAGGAAACAACCATGGGTCCCCCCAAAACACTCAACAACAATGGCTCCCATTTTCCCTACTCTCTTCAGCAGACTAATCAAAATTAGGATTCCTTCTGACACAGCCCTACCCATATAATTGAAAAATGCAATTCTGGGTTGTTTGGCTCCCCCTAGATTTAATTTAATCTACCATCAACAGAAACATTTTGTAATAGAATGGGATGAGGGGAAGGGCGAGAGGAGTTTGCTACCAAAAGTTTAATTCAATTTAACAATTTGTGCTCCTGGCAAAGGCCAGGCTGATCTCTTTCTGCCCAATACATTTGAATTAGGCAGTTAGCAGCTCCTTTTTGTCAATCACTGACAGATTAATTCCATTTTCATGCTGTCACAAAGTCTGAGGTCATTAAGAGTGGGCACTGCAAAGGCAGCTCTACATTTTTGCTTCTTCCCACTAGTATACATGCATATATTGAAGATACTTGTGTGTGAAAGAAACCTGTGCCATCCAATCCTCAGCTACCTCTCCCACAAATAACACCAGAAATATTCACCATACATCAATAAGCATGCTTGTTTTGAAGCTTTCCCTGTTCTGCATATTGAGATCCACAGGGAGCCACGCTGTGACTTCAAAAGCAAACACAATGTATTCATGAAACTAACTGCATAATGTAGATGGATAAATAGAATGCAAGGGGCAATACTCTTATCTGAATGAATGGGCCACACTCAATAACATTTCTATCACACGCTTCCTCCAAGGAGCTCAGAGTGGCACAGAACTCCTTCCCTCCTCCCTCAATAACCTGAGGCAGGGATGGTTTAATAAGCTATCGGAACTGCTAGCGATGGACAAATTTACTGATTCAATCAGAAGGATGGAAGAACAAAGGAGATCTTCAAATTTGCTTGCTAAATGGTCTCCTTTTATAGAATATATACAAACAAATGACTCTTCTCAAATAAGTCATATTCCAACCAAATACAAAGAAATACTCACCTGTTTATGAAGTCGGTAATATTTACCTACATATTCAGCAGACATGGTATAGGCCTCCAAGTTAAGTTACATAGTTTGTCAACATTGCTGTTTTTGGAACGCAGACGTTAACAAGCTGAAGTTATTTAATTCATTTCTGTTTTAGTTATATTCATTTGTAAAGCTGTTTGGTTACAGTTTTGCTGATTGTATCAAAAACTTAATTAAAAAAAATATTTATTAAAAAAAAAAGCCTGTGGGCACTTTTGGAATTCTGACACAGGGTGGTTGGTGTAACCACAAAAATGGCCGCCTCAGGAGGCAGTGTGTATGTGTGTGTTATGTGCCGTCAAGTCACTTTCGACTTATGGCAACCCTTATAAATTAATGACCTCCAGAATATCCTATTATTAACAGCACAAAAAACACTCAACAACAATGGCTCCCATTTTCTGAAGGCCATGGCTTCCTATGTCGAGTTGATACATCTCATGTTGGGTCTCCTTCTCCTGCTGCCTTCAACTTTTCCTAGTATTATTGTCTTTTCCAGTGACTCTTGTCTTCTCATAATGTGACCAATGTAGGATAGCCTTCGTTTAGTCAGGAGGCAGAACCAACTACAAAAGGATTTCCTCTGGAGGCGGATCCAACCACAGAATGGTAGGGAGTGAGGTTATGCATAACTCTCCTAGTAACTCTTCAGCATTTCAGGCAGAAGCGCTGCTTGACAGGATGGCTTTTAAAATGAACATACTGTTTAAAAATATTTTCTTACACATGCTGTAATGTAATGAAGATCCTTATGCTGTGCTGGCAGCTGTTTTTGAAGTAACTTTTAAAAAAATCTGCACAGCCAATCAGACACCGATGGCCAATCAAAAGCCCTGCTGGGCAACACCCGACTCTGCCCCCACCCAGTTTCTATAAACACTTGACAAGTGCCAGGAAAGGTGGCGGCATGCACCATGGGGCCCGTGGGACCACGCTGGGGGACCCCTAGGCTAAGATAACAAGACCTAGTCTTTATTTCAGTGGCTATGCTAATACGTGTTCATTACTGTGAGGAGTGATGAATTATTTCTAAACCTGACAGAGGCTCAGGAGGCCTGATTAGAAAAGAACAAATGTATTTGTTTATTTACTTTCTCAGCAGAGTTTAACACTCTTATTTAGAAACAGCTGCTGGTTGAAATGTTACCACAACAACCTAGCCTCACATATTTCCGCTGAGGAAAATCTTTTCTTTTTCAGAGAATTACTGTTACAAGTGGGCTTACCTACAAGGTCACCCAAAAGAGCTTAAATGCACTTTCAACCCCGACTCACAACGATTGCCATCATGCAGTCAATAACAGCTCCAGGTTCTTCAAATCAGCCAGACAGTTGCCCTTGCAGTCCCAGTAGGGTTACCAGACTCCCGGTCGGGGCAGGGGTTCCTTTGATTTTCGGGGCTCCAACTTGCCACTGGACAGCAGGCTGGTGGGGGCAGCTCCACATTCAAACAGCCCCCTCTCATGTCAATGTCAACATGATATCACCCAGAAGTGACA